CCCCCTGGTACCAGGCATTGAACTCTCGACCTTGCGCTTGCCAGGCAGGCACTGTGCCGCTGAGCTAAATCCCCAGCCCCTCCCAGTATTTTTTCTTAGCTATTAACAGGGCAGACTATTTTAATCCATTCTGATCTCTTTCATATTGTTGCTTGATGTGGTTGAGATTCAGAATGTTTCCCCAGAGGCTCATTGTGTTGAAGGCTTAGTTGCTGGTTGTGAGTGGTTGTGAGTTGCTGGAAGTGAGTGGATTATGAGAACTCTGACTTTCTACAGATAATATCATGATTATGATATTTTGGGGAGGTGATGGAAGCAGGAGGTGGGCCAAGGTTGAAGGGAGTAGATTATGAGAGGGCTCTTTCCCTCTGTTTCTGTCACCTTCCTGGCCGCCATGAGATAAGCAGCTTTTGTCTGCCATGTCCTTCTGCCTTACCTCAAGCCCACAGCAGTGGAACCAAACAAGTGTGACTGAAAGATCTGACACCATGAGCCAAAATAAACCTCTTCATCCTTTAAGTTACTTACATCAGGCATTTTGTCACAGTGACAAAAGGTGACTGACACAGTGCTCACCAGTCCATCTTTGTCCATTGCAGGCTAATTTCCATTGGTACCTTTGTCAACCCAGTTCTGTTACTCTTTTATAGTTCCTATGTTTCCTACAAGACAAGATGTGTTTTCCAATCCCATGCTCTGGGTTGGCCATTTCTCCGAAGAGCTCTGGTTCGTTTTCGTGGGGGTTGGTGACTATAATCTGGGATCTGAGGTCCTTATTTCTTTTGGGCGATCAGTGTTTTTGTGCCTGTCCAGTGGAGAGAGGCAGAATATGTATATTTGAAAATAGACAATAGAATGGTGGTTGTCCAAGGCTGATAGGAGGAGCAAATTGAACATTATAGTTTAATAGGTACACAGCTTAACTTTAAGAGGATGAAGAAGTTTTGGAGAAATGTACCGGACATAATTGTACAACACTGTGAATGTACTAAATGCCATTGAATGCTCACTTTAAAATAGCTAAAATGGTAACATTTATGTTACATATATTTTACCATAATAGAAAAATAAAATCCTCTTATAGCAGAAAAAATAGACAAAAATGTGGGAACTTTTCACTGACTTACATTTAAAATTTTTTTTTAAGATTAAGACTTGCTTAATGAATTTTATACTTATAAACCCTTTATTTTGGTCTAATTTGCTTCATAATACTTCTGTAATAATAATTATACATAGTTCTTTTTCTGGTAGTGCACCATTTTGGGGACCTGGACTTCTATCCTTCACATTCTGAGTCTTGCCACTGTCTTTTTTGATACAGACTTTGCTACCAGGACTTGCTAGTTCCTCTTTGGAGGTAGTTAAATCTACCCCAGGTGAGACCTCCTCACCTACTTCCGGAAGTGGTGACAAGGTCTATGCTTACCGGATGGTTCGTACAGATTCCCGGGAACAGAAGCTCGATGCCTTTCTGCAGCCTGTGAGCAAGGCCCTGCCCAGTCAACCCCGGGCCCACGACCCAGAGGATAGGACAGATGATTCTAGTTGCAAGGCCAGGCGGCAGGATGAAGAGATGCTTGAAATTCCAGCCCCTGATGAAGTGGCTGCCAAGAATCAGAGCATGGAGGAGGATGCTAGCAGGGGTGCTTTTGAAACAGCAGAGAAGAGAGCACCCGCTTCCAGCCCAGGCAACCCCAGGTATGCCGTGTGGGGAAGGTGCAGCTTGCCCTCTGTGTTCTTGAGTAACATTGTCTTCTAAGTGCGGCTTTTCATGAATCTCTTGTATCTTCTCTCACTTGAATTGTCCTCTGCCTCCACTGCGACAGTGCTGTGGCCCTGCCCACTATCTGCTTTTGACCATAACTTGAAAGCCACCACCACAATGTCCTCTGAAATGTCGTACATGTCTTTGGTTCTAAATATTAGTTTAAAACACATCAGAGAAAAGGCAGAAGGTGTATCGTTTGTTTTTAGTAAAACATTTGAGAAAATCTCTGCCCTAGAAGTGGCTAGGGAAAGAAGCTTGAAGCGATCTTCATTCTACCCAAGGGGTTGCCACCCCTTTCAAAAGAAGCACACTTTCTCAATCTAGTTAATAAACCCCCTGAATCGAGCTAGTGGTGAAAGAAAAGGGGCAGGACTGGTGATACTAAAGACTCATTTAGTTTTGAGCATTGCCAGCATATGCTCTGCAGGTTCTCTAAGGACATTAACTTGCTGATTCTGTAGGTGGCTATATTTAATGTGTACACCTGCAGAATGGAGAGCTCAAGGTGAAGTCATTTGCCTAAGGGTGTATGTGTACTTAGAGACTGACCGCCAGAAATCCTTGCGCTAGATGGCCACTTGAACTTGGATGAGTTACTTCAGTTTGTTCATGTTCAACTTGCTCATCCTAGCAAGATAAGTTCTAAGGATTTTTCCCAGAGAATAATAAAGTTTATTGATATTTATTGAGCAGCTATTGTATGCCAGGTACATACCCTATCTCATTGAATGCTCTTAAAAACTTGCAGAAGAAGCATTTCATTTATTTATCCCTTGGGGAATTAAGTGATATTTACCACATCATAGTCAAAGATAGATAGATATATACATAGATATATGTAGATATATACAGATATATGTGTGTGTATATACATAGACATATACATGTATATGTCTATGTATATACACACACATATATCTGTAGATGTCTTTCTTTTTTTTGAACAGGGTCTTTCTATGTAGTGCAGGCTGGCCTTAAGCTGACAATGTGGCCTGGGGTGACCTTGAACTCACAGTGATCCTCCTGCCTCAGCCTCCCAAATGCTGGGATTACAGGTGTGTGACACCACACTCGGCTTCAAAGAAATTTTTTTAGAGCAGAAGTCAGATCCTGTCACTCCCCTGCTGAAAATCTTCCAGTGGCTTCCCATTCCATGTTAGAGACAATTTAAAGCCCGGCCTCGCCTTCTCTTTGGCCTTTCACTTTCCTTCCTCTTCATGACCTCCAGCTATGTGGCTCTTGTGGCTGATCTGAACTGACTCAACCTCTGACCCTGTGGTTGCCCTTGCTGTTCCTTCAGCTTAAGAAGGCTCTGGCTTTCTGTCACTCAGGTCTCAAGGCTTATCGGTGCCAGAGGCCTTCTTCATCCATTTATGGTAACTTTCTCCTCTCACCTCCCCATCATTCTATTAATTGCTTTATTATCTAGCACCAATCACTACTAAAAACTATCCTTTTTGTTTCCTATTTCATTTTCACTCTCCCATTATAAAATAAGCATCAGCATCACGATGGCAGGCAGCTTTCTCATCACTGTATGTGGCTGGTACTTCAAAGTGCGTGATGGATTGATGGATGGAAAAGTGGAGGGAGGAAGAAGGAAGGGAGGAAGGTCCGTTCACTCGCTCGAGGCCCTGCAGCTCTGTGGGCTGAACCAGACTCCACCTCCTGGTTATGTACCCCTGTGTGGCCAGCTGCTGGGATCTGAGGTTTGTCAGACAAGCAGCACGCTGGAGAATAGCCATCCTCCTGGCCTGCGTCTAGCACGAGGATCTCTCTAGCTATGTAGAAGCTGCTACCACCTTAGAGAAGCTGTACCCATCTCCAAACTGCCACCAAAGTTGAAAATTAAAAAATTAAAAAGGAGAGTAAGAATCTGCTGGTTTCCTTTCTTCATTGCAGAAAGAGGCCTCGGGAAGACTCTGATGTGGAAATGATAGAAAGTGGTTCCCAGAAGGAAATGACAGCAGCGTGTACCCCTCGGAGGAGGATCATTAACCTCACTAGTATTTTGAGCCTCCAGGAAGAAATTACTGCACGGGGACATGAGAGTACGTGAGTGTTAAGATGTGCCTAAAACTCGGAGGGCCTGAGCTGCTGGCATTAAGCTTTTGGAACTGCAGACAGCATTCATGATCGCAGGGTGCCAACCACAGCGCGCCAGGCAGGCCTCTCTTCCCTTACTAGCCCGCAGCATCAGCAGCTTAGAAACAATTACAAGAGAAGGAGAAGGGAGGAAGAATTTTCTTTTAATTGCAATTAATTGGCATTCTCCTTAAGTAAGGCAGTCCTTTCAGTAATTTCCAGTTTGTTTCTCTTTTAGCATTGGAACGATCACCACAATTCTTTCCCTGTGGATGGAATGGGATCCATCCCATTTTGCTGCTAAAAGTTCACAGGCTTTTTTAGTTCCTGGCACTGTCACTTCTATTGTGTGACCTTCCACTTGTGACTTCACCTTTCTGTGCTGAAGTTTTTCCTCATCTATAAAGTGAGATTAATTTTATTCTGGAAGACCATTGTGCTAATTAGAGGTCAAATATAAATAAAGCACTAGTTACGGATGAAGGAGTCAGTAGATGTTTTTATATCCTAAGACGGAACACTTTTTAGACTACCTGATGGCAGCTGGGTACTGAGTCTACACAATTTAGTCGTGACCTCCCATTGTCATCTATTATATGTACCTGCCTGTTTTTCCCCTCCCTTCCTTCCTTCTTTCCTTCCTTCTTTTTTAAAAATTTTTTTTATTTTTTTGAGATAGCATCTTTCTATGTAGTTCATGCTGGCCTTAAACTCCCTGTGTAGTTCCGGCTGACTTTAAACTCATGATGGTCTTTCTCCTTCAGCCTCCTGAGAGCTGAGATAATAGTTATGTGCAACCACACCCAGCCTACATTTTTGACTGAAATAAATTTCAGCAGTGTATTTTAAAACATGTCCTAAAATGTAACTGTCCGGATTAATTTTGAAAGGGGAGGGAAGAGAGTAGTGAGGGAACAAGTCAGTACCTTCCTCACTAATCCTTAACCTTTTCAAACAGCTGCTCTGACTCACTGGCCTCTTAAATTTTTTTCTGTCTCAGTCACCACTTGTCTGAGCTAATTCGGAAAAGCCTCAGAAATTGCCTTTCTCTGTTCATTGTCTTTTCTTACCACTCTGGGCAAAAAATGCATGCAGGGTTTCTTACACTTGAGCAGGATAAAACTTCCTGTGACTGAGTTTTTGCCAGTTTAAGAAGTGGATGCCAGACTGGACGTGGCACACGCCTATAATCCCAGCACTCGGAAGGCTGAGGCAGGAGGATCGTTGCGAGTCCGAGACCAGTCTGGGCTACAAAGTGAGCTCAAGGCCAGCCTGAACTGCATAGCGAGACCCTGTCTCAAAAAGACCAAAAAAAAAAAAAAAAAAAAGAAATGGATGCCAGTTGGCTTTCTGATTTTCATTCCCATAAAGACTTGTTCTTTTGGCTCTTCCTCCAGTATTAACTTTCAAGTTGGGAGCTTTTAAAGCACTTTTAAATTTAAATACTATAAGGAAGGTGGCTGTTTCTTGATTTCTTTAGCAGTTCTCCTCAGTAGTTTTATATCCCGCACACACATACACTCACGCATATTTATCAAGTGTGGCCAGGCTTAGGGTCTTGCTAAAGCTAAAATGATTACATTGTCTCATTTTTTTCTCTTAGTCTTGTGAGGGAGACAGAGCAGATGCTGTTATCTCATATTTTAAATGAGGAAATGGAAGACGAAGTGGACAGGTTTTTTGAAACATCCCAACAATGCAAACCGGCCCAGAGCCAGGCATGGTGGTAACACCTGTAGTCCCAGCTACTTAGGAGGCTGAGGTGGAGGAGTCACTTGAGTCTAGGAGTTTTAGGCTAGCCTGGGCAACAAAGCACAGTGTGTGTGTGTGTGTGTGTGTGTGTGTGTGTGTGTGTGGTTGTCACTGGCAATGGGCTTCTCACTGGAAACTTCACCCAGTATTTAAACGCAAAATCAGGTTACTGGCCTGTGTAGGACAAGCATACAATGTGATTCTGACCCCTTTAGCCAAAGTTGGTGTCTTCAGACGTGGAAGGTGTCCCGCAGGGCATGGAAGCTTCTACCCTGCAGATAATCACGAGGAACCAGAAGACTAGGTCCTTCTTTCTGGATCCTTCCTTAGAGTTAGCTTTACGTGTTCTTCGGAGAACAACATGCCGAGGCCCAAGGCCTCTGCTGTGAAGTCAGGTGCATGGTCTGGCTTTTGAAACACAGGAGGATTCTGACAGATTTTGCTCCTCACAGAATGGCAAGGAAATGGCATACAGATTTCTAGGGCTCTGGGGACATTAGGATAGGACTGAAATACAGGTCTCCTGTGTCCTGGTAAGAGGTGTGAAGAGGCCCAGGGAAAAGGAGCCCGTGCTGGGTAACTCGATGCTGCCCCCTGCTTACCCGTCCCTGCTGGTAGGGCTGCACTCCACTAGCTGCAAGTGCAGCAGAGCAGGCCATGAACATTCTGCTCGGAAAAATCTCTGACCTGTTTTCAGTAGATTACACTGCTTTTTCTTTCCTCCAGTGCCTCATTATTCAAGATTATTTGATGTTCTCCATCTTTTAAAATAATCATTTTCCGCCTACGCAGAATATCTTGTAGAGAGGATAAATTTCCAACGGGAACAGAGGGGAACACTTACTCCAAAAATGAAGAAAATAAGCCTTTTTTATGAGGTAGAGTAGTCACAGAGCTTATGTAATAGTAGGAGAATGTACTTACGGTGCCCACAAGGTGAAAGAAAAGGTACAGTAGAAACATGTACAGGCTTGTTGCTGTACGCTCCTTCTTTCCCTGATTTCTCCCACTCGTCCTGTCTTCCTTTTAGGTGGGTGGTATGTTTACTTCTTGCATAAAAAATCATGATGCGGGGTGTATTGGGGAGGTAGCTCAGTGATAGAGGACTTGCTCAGCCTATGTGAGGTCCCGGGTTCAGTCTCTAGCACTAATAGTAATAGTGCTGATAGGTAGATAGATAGATAATCATTTATATATGTAGAACTAGAGAAAAGAATATCTGCAAGAATATTGCCCACTTAAGAAACAGAATATTGCTGTCACCCTTGAAATAACTGTATGCGTCCCTGCCCCATCTCCTTCCCTTGTCCCTTAGTGATAACTACTACCCTGAGTTGTGTTGATTATTTCCTTCCTTTTTATTACAGTTTTGCCAGCTGTTTTCCTTTTTATTATAGTTTTGTAGTCCTAAAAAAATTGTTGAGTTTTGCAAGCCTTAAATTTTATACAAATGGAACTATACTGTACTTATTATATATGAATACACATGTATATTATATTCCTAAGATTTATTCATCTTTTTAAAAAGCCCTGGTTTACTTTACGGATGTAATGGATTCTACTTCATGAATATGCAGCTCATTCATTGTGTTGGAGGACATCTGGAGGACTCCTGTGGACTCAGGCGCCCGCTCCTCACCTCCTCACATTGCTTCCTGACCCTGAGTTGATCCCTGGGTTGGCACACAGATTGGGAAGCTCTGCTGCTGAAGTATTTTATATAGGACAGTTACTTCTGTATCATAAAATGACAGATTGTTTTCTTTTTCGGGGGGTGGGGGTGTTTCCGGTACCAGGAATTGAACTCACAACCTTGCGCTTGCCAGGCAGGTGCTGTGCCACTGAGCTAAATTCCCAGCCCCGACAGATTGTTTTCTACAGGAGCGTATTCATTTACGTTTCATTTACGTTTCTTCCAGCAATGCACAGAAATTGTACTTGCTCTTTCTCTCCAGTATTTGATATTGAGACTGTTTTTTACCAGTTGGTGATTGTAAAACTGTATCCAATGGTGGTTTTTATTTGTATTTCCTTGGTGAGTGATAAAGGTTAGGAAGTATATTTCCTCTTATGTTAAGGGCCTGTTTGAGTTTTTTACCCCCATTTTTCTGTTTTTATTTTTTCTGATGATTTGGGAGGTTACTTCTATACTCTAGATAGTAATCAGTTGCATGAAGATATCTTCCTCCAGTTTAGGGTTTATTCCTTTATGAACACTTATTTCATGAATAGAAATTCCTTGGTTTAGTGTAGGCAGATTATATCAGTTGTTCTCTACAGGATTTTCACTGTGGCTTTTATTTTTGTTTTGGTTTTGGGGGTTTTATAAGCTAGGGTCTCACTTTGTTGCCCAGGTTGGCTTCAGACTCCTGGACTGGGGTGATCATGCGGCAAGCATCCCGAGGAGCTGGGACGATAGGCGTGCAACACTGCACTCCACTGTTTTTTGTTTTTTTTTTTTATCTTAGGAAATTCTTCTTAGCTCTATGAAAATTAAGGATACACTGTATGGGTATGTGTGTGTGGGTGTGGGTGTAGTGCTAGGGAAACATGCTGTTATATTGCCTCCTGAAAAGCTTATACTTGAGTCGCACCCAACGAAAATTGATTTGGGTATGTTGTTAAATTCCAGTTTCTACTTGATCATCTAATTATTCTGTGTTATAGCTGTAAGTTTATTTTACCAGTTATTATTTACTCAGTTGTGCCTGTGCCTGAAGCACATGCTTCAGTGGGATCTTTGGTGGCTCCTTTCAGACTGCTTTAAAAAATTACCATAGACTGGGTGGCTCATTAAACTATAGAAATTGGTTCTTATTCTGAAAGCTGAGGTGTCTAAGATTGACATGCTGGCAGATTCATTGTATGGTGAGGGCATACTTCCTCACAGACGATGCCTTCTAGCTGTGTGCTTACGTGGTGGAACAGGCCTCCTGGCTCTCTGGGGTCTTTTGTATCATTAATTCATCATGAAGAGGTACCCAGTCACTTCCCCAGGACACCACCTCTTAATACTATCACTTCGGGGGTTAAGATTTGAACATGTCTTGGAAAGACACAGCATTCAGATAGTGGCAGTGGCAAACGGAGTTTGCCTTCTGTAGTTCACCCTTATTTGAAAAGTAATTGTTGAATTTAGAATACCAGACCAGCAATTGTTTTTCCTGAGAGTACTGAAGGTATTTTTGTTTTTTCTGATTTCTCCTACTGTAGTTGAAAATTCAGCCATCAGTCTTATATTTAGTACTTAGGGTGTGGCCGTTGCTTTCTGAGGGATTTTAAAATGTCTTTCTTACTATCCTGCAGTACCTGTACATGTCAGGTATAGGTTCTGCTGTATTTTGTAGAACTCTGACTTGACATTTTTTCATCACTTCTGAGATGTTCTTAAATATTCTGTGTTTAAAGTCTTCAAATATTAGCCTCCCTTTTGTGTCCCTTCTGGAAGCTAAGTGATATATTTATTATCTTCCATGTTACTTTGTTAAGCTCCTTTTTTACATATGTTCTCTTTACTTCTCTGTGTGTTTTAGATAACTTCTTTAGATCCAGTTTCCAGTTACCTTGTCAGTATTGTCTAATGTGTTATATCCATCTTGATTTTAAATTATAGTTACTGTATTCTTCATTTTTACAATTTTTAATTGGTTCTTTTGGAAATCTCCTTGAGCATTTTTGATAGTGCCCTGATGCATAATCGTAGTTTTAACACCTTTTGAACATACTGAACATACTTATTTAACGTACTCTTTATTGATATTTCTAAGCTCAAACGTTTGCAGATCTCATCCTGTGGTTGCTTCTTAGTCCAGTTCCTCACACTTTATCTGGGTTGAAGATGGATTTTTCCAGGAATAATTTGCATTTGACTCTAACGGGGATATGGAAGAACAATCAGCCCTGGTATCATTTTAAACTAAAATGTCCACTTAAGGTTTTCAAGCAGTCTACTTAGCATAAATTCTGGCTACAAAAAAAGCATATGAAGACCAGATTATTATTACACACTCTTGGAAGTTATTATTTCTTTACTATTTGGCAGTATCACAGTTTGAGGTGGCATTTTTGCTTAGTGCCATTTGAGGGAGAGTAGGGTAAGCATGGAACGTAGTATAGTTTCCGTTTCACTCAAGGTGTAGCCCTTGGGATCTCAGCTTCACACGTGGAGCAGTGTCTCCTGGTAGACTGCCCCTTTCAATCTATTTCTAGGATTTTGTCTTCCTTTTGCACAGTCATAGAGCCTATGAAAACTAAAGTTCAGAATGCCTCAGATTCCTCTCATCTTTAGATAAACTTAGCTTCAGAGCTCTCATTACTTCTCTAGGTTCCTGTTGTGTCTTTGATTTTTATCCTTGTATATTCCATAATACTTTAGAAATTTTTGCTGCATTTTAAACAATCAGTTATGTGTTCTGCATTTGATTTATCTCCAGCAGGAGGCTCAGTTCAGCACCTTTGCTGTCTGTTGTGCAGTTCTGGTGCTTGGAGCTGTGGGGTATGAAGCAATGTTGGTAGGGTTCTATTACTTAGCCGGTTTTTGTTTTGATTTTGTCTTCCAGCTCTCCGGGAGATGTTCCAAAACCACTCCTTTGTGGGCTGTGTGAATCCTCAGTGGGCCTTGGCACAGCATCAGACCAAATTATATCTTCTCAACACCACCAAGCTTAGGTAAGTCAGTATGTGAAAAAAAGAATGACCAGACTAAAACAGCAGTGGTGAACCTATGGCACACGTGTCGCAGTGGGCTGTTTGTATCAATTAAAAGCTCTAAAAGGTTCAGCATCACTCTACGAGAGGAATGGTACAGGGCACAAGAAGCTGGGGAAAGCAAGATAAGTGGTTGGAAAGGGCACAAGCTTGAGAATCAGACAGAGGTGATTACAAAATCAAGTCTGACCATTTTCTATTTGTATAACCATGAGGAAGTTACTTTCTTAGACTAGCTGTCAGATTTCTCACCTGTAACTTGAGATATTACTACTTAAACTTATTTCTTGCAAGATTAAGAAATAACTTAAGAACGTAGTCTTCTGTAAAGGCTTAACACTCAGTTAAATGTTGGCTGTGTCCAGATGTTGAGGGCTTGGTAATGTTAGAGAATTCTGCTTTGTGCAATAGGTACTATGAGGGAGCCAAGAAAATCTGATGCCCCCTAGCTTTGGGGATGCGCCACAGGCTTGCTCTAACCACCAGACAAGCCAGTAGGGTTGACTCGCACATGAAGGGTGACCCTATAGAACCATATGCCTTGTTCATTGCTGCTGCTATTTCTGTTGTTTCCAGGGACCCTGGTAGATCAGCTATCGAGTATAGAACCTATATTAAATTTGTTCTCAAATAGACAATAGATATAGACTCTGCCACCTTGCATGTACTTGACATAACTTGTGTGGGTTTCTTTCCCTCCAAGTCCTATGGCCTCAGAGTTCTTGGCCTTGTCAGTGTGGCAGCCACTATACATTGCTTGGACTTGTCACATTAAATAAAATCCTCACCGTTGCCTCACAGACCTCTTTAGGTACTCACAGTTCATTCTTCCAAGGCTTGGAAACCCTTTTAGTGTAATTCTTTTCAAGTTCCATTGTCTGATTTGAAACCCTTTGGAGTGGTATAGTGAGCTATCACTTACTACTTTGTTAGGAATTCTACTCCCCTTGCTTTTTCTTTGCCGGTACATCTAAGTGCATGACTTCCAAGGCTCCAAATCACAATTGCATTGAGGTTTTCACCTTACAGACACAGATCCAGGCCATTCCCAGTATTGCAGCTACAGGTTTAGCATCCCTAATCTGAAGTCCAAAATTCTTCAAAGTCTGGAAGGTTTTGAATACCATCATGATGCTACAGGGGAAAATTACACACCATGAAACTTTGTTTCATGCACAAAATTTTTAAAAATATCATGTAAAATTATCAAGTTATGTGTGTAAGGATTATGTAATATATAAATGTATTTCTTGTCTAGACATGGGACCTATCCCCCAGATAGCTTATATCTATGCAAACATTCTAAACTCTGGGGAAAAGTGACTTACAGGTTTAAGTGGGGGAAATGGTAAGCAAACAGAATATTTCCGTGTTCCACTATAGGGTGTTAAAAACCTCTTATAGCAGCAGAAAAGTGGGGACAAGCAAGACTTAGTGTTCAAACCTGTCTTTAGAGGCTGCCCCCCATCATCCCTGTCCGGAGAAGATGTTGGAAATCCCAGGTGTCTGCAGAAATGAGATCTTGTTAGACTGGTAACTGGACTTTGTAGCAAGGCAGAACCATCTGTATGGGCCACTTGTGTTTCAGGGATTACTTCTCCTATTTGTCCCAATTTGATTGGGTCTCAAGCATGGATTCAGCTCTTTCTTAGGGTCACTTTTTTTTTTTATTTTCAGTGAAGAACTGTTCTACCAGATACTCATTTATGACTTCGCCAATTTTGGCGTTCTGAGGTTATCGGTAAGTGTATTGCTTCACTTCTGAAATTTTAACTGGTCATTTCTGAAGAGTTCTATAGTATCTTAGTATCTTATATTAAATTTTCTTAAGTATGCTCCTTAAGAGTTTCTGTATTGTACATTTTGTATTTGGAGTTACCTAATTATCTTTTAGCCAAATAGTCATTTGGTAGCCAACTTTAAAAAATGTTAGTATTGAAATGGATATGTATATATCTCCTTAAACTTGGAAAGAAGTAAAAATGGAAATAAACATTCTGTAGAACCATGATCAAAACACAACCTCTAGTAATAATTTTTTATTTATTTGTGTGGTGCTGGAAATCAAACCTAGGGTGCGGGGCTGGAAATCAAACCTGGCTGTACATGCCAGCCCGGCACTCTGCTATTGAGGTACATCCCTGTGCCCCTAACAGTTTTGGTCTATTTCTTCCAGGACTTTCAGTGCCTAATTTTAATTGAGTAAAAAATCATACTACCCCTCTTTAGAACTTTTTTACTTGATATACTCTATAAAAATGCCTACTAGAATTTTAAATATGGATTATTTTAAAACTGTGGATCCAGTTGGAGAAAAACTTGTGTTAGATTAATCCCTTGGTATTTCACATACTTTATGCTATTGTAAATGGTAAACGATTTTTTAAATTTTAGTTTCCAGTTATTTATTGCTAACATATAGACATACACATGAATTTTGTACATTGATGTGATACCTTGCAACCCTGCTAAACTTACTAGCTTTAGTAACATTTTTATAGATTCTGTTAGATTTTCTGTATAATCATGTCCTCTGAGCAGAATAAAAGTTGTGCCTCTTCTTGTCCAATTTGGATGGATTTTCTTTTTCTTGACTCTACCGGCTAAAACTCAGTGTTGAACAGAAGTAGTAAGAAAGGAAATCCATCTCTTGTTCCTGATCTTAAGGAGAAAGTATTCAGACTTTCCTCATTAGGTATGTTGTTAACCATAGTGTTTTCATCGATGCCCTTATGAGGGTGAGGAAGCCACCTTCTATTCCTTGTTTGCCTAGAGTTTTATTTAGGAATAGTGTTGAATTTACTCAGATGCCTTTTCTGTATCTATTAAGATAATCATACAACTTTTCTTTTTTAGTTTAGTAATACATATAGTATAATACATTGACTGACTTGGGTATCTTAAGCCAATCTTACAATCCTTGGATGAACACTACTTGGTCAGTATGTACTGTCCTATTATCAGATTTTATTTACTAAAAGTTTATAATTTTTGCATCTATGTTCAAGAATGTTACTAGCATGTAGCCTTCTTGCATTTTCTTGTGTGGTTTTAGTATTAGGATAATACTATCCTTTTTTAATGAACTGGAAGTTTCTTTTCCATTTTCAAAGAGTTTGTATAGAATTAGTCTCATTTATTCTTTAAGTTTGGAAGATTCATGAGTGAAGTCATCCAGACCTGGAATTTTTTTTTTTTTCTTTTCTTTTTTTTGGTACTAGCAATCAAACTCACAGCCTCCTGCTTGCCAGGCATGTACTGTGCCACTGAGCTATATCCCCAGTCAAGACCTGGAAATTCTAATAAGTGAATGTTTTTGGTACAAATTCACTTTCTTACTAGATATAGAGCTATTCAGGGTTATTTCTCCTTGGGTAAGCTATGGCTTATTTTTTTTCAATAAACCTGACCATTTAATCTAAATTTTCAAATTTTTGGCAAAAATTTTTTAATATTTCTCTTCTTTTAGTAGGATAACCTGTTTCCTAATACTGGCAATTTAAGTCTTCTTTTCTAACTTGGTCTGGTAAGAGGTTTATTAATTTTACTGATCCTCTCAAAGAACTTTTTATTTCATACTTTTTTTTTTAATTTTGGTTTTCCATTTTGTTGATAACTAATCTTTATTTTTTAATTTATTTTGGTGTTATTTGTCTTGTGCTTTACACTTCTTAAGTTGGAAGCTGAGGTCACTGGTTTGAAACCTTTCGTTCTTTATAGTACAGGTATTAAGTGCTGTGAATGTCCCTTAAGTATTACTTTACCAGCCTCCCACAAAATATCCCATTTTCACTCAGTTCAAAATACTCTGTCAGTTCAAAATAATTTGCCTTTCATTTCTTGTACCCACAGATTGAGAACTGTGTAACTTAGTTTTATCTCTTAGGAATTTACCAAAGATTTATTACTGATCCCTTAATTTAATTCCATTTTGGTTAGAAAACATACTGAAACTGTTTTATACCCATTGAGTCTTGTTTCATATGTTGTGTGTACCTGAGAATTTAGATGCTCTATAAATGTTGTGTCAAACTGTGATGCTCAAATCTTCTATATTCTGATTTTCTGCTTGTTCTGTTAATTACTGAGAAAGGGATATAAAAAAACTATAATTGTGGATCTGCCAATTCTCTTTGCAGTTATCTTAGCTCATTTTGGGGTATATAAGCATTTAAGACTGTTATGTCCTTTTGAGTCCCATTATGAAGAACAAATACTTCATGTTTATAACATATGTAGAAGTATCATAATAATAACATGAGAAGAGAAAACAGTGGAAGATTATACTGCATATTACTCATTTTTCTTCCCCATAGGATTTACCTGAAATGTTATTCAACTTATTCTACCTCCTTCGTGATTTAATTATGGCTGAGACAATAGAAAGGATGTGCCTATTTTCTAGAAATACAAAAATAAGTTGCATCCTCAAGGCTGCGTAGAAGTAGCTCCCCATGGATTTACCCTTTCTACCTGGTTTGTAGGGGGGCGTTGGTACTGAGGTTGAAATTCAGGGATGTTATAGCAATCACTGAGCTTTTTTTTTTTTGAGACAGGATCTTTCTAGGTTGTCCTGGCTGGCTTCTAAATTGGGATCCTTCTTGCCTCAGCTTCCCAAGCTGGGATTACAGGTGTATGCCACTGCCCAGCTACGGGTTTGACTACCACATCCTTTTGTTGAAATGCTCATTGACAAGAAAGAAGTTTTACTGTGGACTGTTCATGGCCAATTGGTGGTGTTTGTGGTTTTTCACCTGCTGTCCTGATAACATTGTGACTATTCTGCTAATAGTTTATGGGAATTCAGGCTTTATTTAGATACCCTGTTAAGGTTTTGCTCCTTAAGGTTCTTGTTCTTTCCTAGGAGCCAGCACCACTGTTTGACCTTGCCATGCTCGCCTTAGATAGTCCTGAGAGCGGCTGGACAGAGGAGGATGGTCCCAAAGAAGGTCTTGCTGAATACATTGTTGAGTTTCTGAAAAAGAAAGCCGAGATGCTGGCAGACTATTTCTCTTTGGAAATAGATGAGGTGTGATGGCAGTTCTCACGCTACTGTTGTATTCTCCAGATGAGTTACATTCCTATATGAGGGCCAGATTAGGCCTCCCCCAGAAGCAGCATGGGACCTACTACATCCTCTCCACCCCGCACCTGCATTTCTAGGTTACACAACTATACTATCACCCATTCAGGCCGCTTTTGTTGTCGAGGTGAAGGACCCAGACACGAGGGAGAGATCAATTCCAATTCTCTGTTGGCTGTAGTAAATAAGATTGTACTACTTGCTCCAGTTTCTTCCCGTTACTCCTTGATCTTAGGGGATTTTCATCTGGATGTATTCTTTGATTAGTAAGCAGATCCAAAGGGAAGGTTGTTCTGCTGCATGTTAGGACAAAACGCTGTTTTAACTGCTTAGCTCTTCTGACCGCAGTGCCCAACCCAGCTCAGTACCTAGAATCTTAAAGTGGCAGGTCTGAGGACAAGGCCAGGCAAAGCACTATAGAGAAATATAGTTCATGTAAACCGTAACTGCATTATCTCTTAACCCCTTTCTGACCGTTTCCCCATATGTAGGAAGGGAACCTGATTGGATTACCCCTTCTGATCGACAACTACGTGCCCCCTTTGGAGGGATTGCCTATCTTCATCCTTCGACTAGCCACAGAGGTAAATGATCAAGCAGATACTAAGGGTATGTTTATGTGTGCTAGAGGGACAGGGTGCATGACCCCACCTCCATCTGAACTACAGATGTCAAGGGGAAACACCTGAAGGTGCCATCGTCACCAATATTCATCAATATGCAGCAATCCGTATTGCCTAAAATGCCACATTTCATTTTTTAGCTTTCTGTGGCTCAATTTAAAAATGAAAATGTTTAAAGCATTACTTGTCTCAAAGTGTTAAATTCTTTGAAACAGGTAAATTGGGATGAAGAAAAGGAATGTTTTGAAAGCCTCAGTAAAGAATGTGCCATGTTTTACTCCATCCGGAAGCAGTATGTGTCAGAGGAGTCAACCCTCTCAAGCCAGCAGGTACTGTGGGGTGCGCACTGGCACCCTGGGAAGGGGAAGGGCCCACATGCAGCCTTTCATGGCACTGTATGTAACGAGGGTCAAATACAGTGGCCAGCTCTGATTTTTTATTTCCTTCTGCTAGTCTAGAACATACCTCCACGGTGATTTCAAATGCTGTCTAATGTCGAAACACAAGCCATTATAGTGAGAGAGGAACCGGAGTTAGACTGTACAAGGCTGATAGGTCTAGCTCCCTTTGTAGGCAGTTAAATCCAGATTCTAGCTCAGAACCCCAAGCCTGTTTCTGCCTTACATCTGACCACTGCACAAGGCTCTGTAATTCCCCTTACAGGTCAGCTGGATACAGAGAGCTTTGGTTCGTAATGTTTGTCTAGTCAGGTAACAGTGTTTTTCAACCAACATATATTTGAGGGAAGAGGAAAGTGGTAAAAACAATGTAAGAACCACAGGATAGCCACTTGAACACAACACTACCTGATGATTGCTTACAGCCATCCCTTGAGGGAAGAGGTTTGCTCCAGTTGCATCCATGAGGAAGCTGCAGGACAGATGGTGTGCTCAAGGATTCCAGAGTCTTTAGGTGGTAGAGCAAAGATTATATGCTAGGTCCTACAGCTCCTTTTTCTAGGGAATTTCTCCCTCCAGCGAACAGGAGGAGGCAGCACACTTGCCAAACTGTGCTGAGAATCTTTTTGATTGGAAACATGTGCATCAAGGAAAAGACAATGACATCATTGTCTTGTACATGAGACAACTAATGCGTAGAGAGGACTGACAAGGCAAAATTATCTTTTTTTTTTTTTTTCCATTTGTGGCGCTTTTAGGCAAACATGGCTACTTGAATTTAGGTATTTATCCAGACACCAGTCAGGATCAGACATAGAGGGCCCATAGGAAATCGTTCCACACAGCAGTGACTGCTTTTTCTCTCAAAAACCTTATTCTGTGTATTCAGGCCTATGGGCTCCCCCAAAAAATGGTACACAGAAGCCACTTCCCAAGCTATAGACCCCATAGTCCATTACAAGCCACAATGACTTTCCAGGCCCAATGCCCATCTTGTCAGCCAGGAAGCTCCTATGTGCCAGGAGGCTTACGACATTTAACGTGTTTTCCAGAGTGAAGTGTCTGGCTCCGCTCTAAACCCCTGGAAGTGGACTGTGGAACACATTGTCTACAAAGCCTTCCGTTCACACCTTATGCCTCCAAAACATTTCACAGAAGATGGAAATGTCCTGCAGCTTGCTAACCTGCCAGACCTATACAAAGTGTTTGAAAGGTGTTAAATATGATCATTTATGCAATACGGGCTGTTTTGTTCTTGATTTATATCCCAATGTTAAGCAAAGGACTTAAGGTTGAATATTTGCACAAGTAGCACATCTTCATGCACAGTGGGTTGTAAATGTGAGATTTGTCCTAACATGATTTCATGTTAACTTCATTACATGTGAAAATTTTTCTAGATCTATTTTTGCTTATTATATACCAGACTGTGTTGAAGAATCCCAACAGAAGTCTGAATGTGAATGGGAATCTGATAAGAGTGCTCTTTAAGCACCATGAAGAATTCTGAAAAGGTCTTAAAGCCTAGATCATTCTCTAATTCTTCCTGTATTCTGGTAAATTTCCATTATTAAATGCTAAATATATGTGTCAGTTCAGATACCTATTAAAAGAAGACCTGAACAAGTAAGAGACTGTTTGACATCAACTATTGAGAAAGACTGAATTAAGAATCTGTATCTTTAGTAACAAAAACTAATTTATTAAGGTAAAAACTTGAGGGAAGGAAATAGTCCTTATCCATTCTGTAGTACAAACTTTTAAAGTCTACTCTCTTATGGCTAGGAGTACTGGCAACTTAAGTTTCTAGGTATTCTTGTCTGAAGGATAATGTACAAGTATAGATTTACATTACTAGGGCCAAAATATGCCACCTTAATATTAGACTACAATTGGCACAGGCCTGTAATCTCAGCACACGGGAGGCTGAGGCAGGAGGATCGTTGTGAGTTTAAGACCAGCCTAGGTTACAAAGTGAGCTCAAGGCCAGCCTGAACTGCATAACAAGACCCTGTCTCAAAAAACAAAACAAACAAACAAAAAAAAAGACAAAAAATATTAGACTATATTGATAGAAACAGAGTCTTTGGCACAGGGAGAAAGACTGTGTGTTTTAAGGTAAAATCCAGGTACAGTGGTATTTCGGTTCACAAACTTAAATTCTTCCCATGATTAGTCACAAAGTAAATCGGATGAGAACTGAATCAAATTCAGTGGTTAGGCTCAATGCTGACCTGATGGGGAAATTTGACTCAGTTCTCATCCAGTTCAGTTTTCAACTAGACTTACGGAAAGAATTTAAATTCATGAACCGAAGTAGCACTGTACTAGGACTCAATGAAGAAAGTTATGTGGAAAAGAACAACATATGAATGGAGCCATTTCATATTAAAAAGACTAGGACAGCAGAATGGAAGCAACACATTTGTCATGCTATAAAAAAGGCAAGATCAATTTCTGGCAGTTAAAACTCCGAACAGAGATGAGGCTCCATGAGCCCAGGACGCGCACAGGCCAAGTGCTCCTGAGTGGAGAGGAAGTGTGGTTTCCCAGGGGAGGGAGAGCTGAAACGCTCTGTGTGTTAATTCCATCTGGGGGATGAGAGGCTAACTGCATTTCGGAACATTCTCTTACCCATCATCACCGCACATCTGCTGTCACTATTAGAAAATTTACAGGACACCAGTTCATTTCAGGAGCTTGATTTCCGTATCTTTAAAGTGAAGGATAATTACTCTAAAGAAGGGAACAATTACTGGAGATTTTATTCACTTTTGAGTTTATTATCTAGTTTCAAGTCTAGTTGTATTATCTTAAATGGTCTTAATTCATTAAAGTTTTCCCCAGTATATTTTGTTTAAGCACTTTGAAGCTACATAATCATTTCCATAAAACGACCTTGATTCTGACAGCAAACGAACATCACAAACCCTGCAAAGTGGACATATCTGTAACTTCAAGGTTTAAAAACAAAACAACCTCAGATTGAATGCCTTTAGATGAAATTAACAGTTCTTAGAAGAAACGGTTCTATATTCCAGATTACTTTTCCTTGAGAGAGAAAAGAAGAGCAGCAAGACAGGAAGGTATGGTTGCCATGATTTGCTTTTAAAGGCTCTTATATCAAAATAAATGTGTCAGTAGCCAATCATGGTTGGCAAAAGTGTTGTGTTTAATAGAATCTTCAGGCAGATCGCCCACCTGCCTGCCCTTCCCCTCCCTCCACCTCAAGGCTTGCCTGAGGTTTCATTTCACAAATAAGCAGCACATGAAAATACTTTACAAGATACAGCACAGTGGATATGGAAGATTAAGGACCCTACTCTTGCTTTAAGAGTAGAAGTCTTGGACTTCACTACCCCATGCAGTAAAGCAAGTTTTATATACACTGCCCATGTATTTTCCTAACATTTTCTTATGTAAATTTAAATATTTTACAAAAAAGGTTTTTTCCCTCTGAACATAAATTTGAGTGAAACACAGATTCTCCAACAGTGAAGTTGTTTTCTTCACTAAGATATGAATGCTGACGGAAGGGGAAATGTCTTTTGCCCGCTGGAGGTCACTGAAGTCTGCACTGCACTGTGGAGAAGGCACTTGTGTTTTCTGAGGTCTCCAGCGAGTGTCTCGGTGAGCACTCAAAACTGCTGTCCTCCAGACCCCAGCCAAGGCCTCCAAGTGCCCAGTCACTGAGGCAGCTGGGGCGGGGGGCGATGAGTAAACTTGATTCTGAAATTAAAATTTAAAATAAAGACAGCATGGACCAGTTTTTAGTCTAGAATAAAACTACAAACAAAAACCAAAGTGTTCATTCATTAAGATTCAAACCTACTTCATTCTCATAAATTATAAAATACAAAGGTGCCTGTTTTAATGACAAAACAAACAGTACTTGAAAGGCGTTTGTGTCAATATACAAAGAGTCAGTCCCACTGAGCCAGGCAGGCCCCACAGAGCTGCACACAGGCCGAAGGGTGACCCTCCTACTGCTGGGCCAGAAGTGCTGTCCTGTTGGCCTTCATCTTCTCCAGCCGCTTGGCTAGGTGGCTGTTAGTCATTTCCATCTCCTCAATCTTGTCCAGTGCTGTTCTTAACTGGAGACAGGGAAAACAGTCGTTTTACATGGTCAGCAACCAAACTGGTACTACTCTTCTAACTTCCTGGAGAACTGAAGCAATGCTAGTTGCTTGGGACAACCCTTTCCTCCCTCCAGTCAGCAAAAGATGTGAACAATGATGCTGAAGACTGATTACTTAAATCACAGAAAGGACATCGAGAAGTTGCAGAAACAGGCTCGATCTGAAACAAAAACTAAAACTACTATTGTACTTTTTAGCTTGACTGACCAAACCATCCAAGTAAATGGCAATCGCTGCATGTCCAAAACCAACCCATGTAAGAAACTAAGTGATATTTCCTTAAGATCTGACCCACTATTAAATTTCTTACACATTAAAGAAGTTTATTTGCAAAGGATTTTTGTCTTTTAGGACTGCACTGTCCCAAGAAACATATAAAAACAAGAACCTCTCGTTGTAGCTTCCTCTTTTCTGCTTTCAGTTCGTCTTCAACTTTCTCAGCATTTTCAGCAGCAGTTTTGTATCTCAGCACCTGTCCTTCAAGCCGGCTAATCTATAAACATACGAACATGATCAGCTTCTAGTCCTTGCCACCAAGTACTTGGTAGCCAAGATGGAAATACAATGTCATCATGATTTCCAAGGAATCTAACACTAACAAACCCCCTTAGGGTGAGTCACAGCTCTTCTCTAACATTATTTATAAATCAAGAAAGATTCCCAGGGAGGATTACAGCTGTAATCATTACAGGGCCCATTTCCCATGTTAAATTTTACGATGACTATCTTGTAAAAGTGCCAAAGTAGCATTGTAGAAGGAAACTCACTCAATGGAGTTTTTAGACTTCTGAAATGTACACTAAATGACTTTGTTATAAGCTATGATCTTGAATTCTCCTGAAATACCTACAAAGAACAATTATAGCTACCATTTCCTATATTTTCAGAGAAAACAAGCCTGGTGTGCTCTGCTGGCTTTTCTATTTTAATACAGAGGACTTTTAGAAAGACCTGCAGAAGCAGCCCACAGAAACCTAGGCATTCTTAGTTTTAGCCATTTAGGAATTTAAATCACTTGGTACCACACAGAAGTACTTACACTTTGCTCCAAGGTAGTTATATCCTGTTCTGCTTTTGAAAGCTTAAATTTGTATTCGCTTATTTGTCTATTGGCATCTCCTGAAACAGAAGATATAGTGAATTTATCATCACCCAGAGAGGAGGAATTGAAACACCAGGCAGTGATGCCTTCCGGAGCATATAACGGACCATGCAGGCTAAGATGACAAAACAAATACTCAGCAATCAGCAGTCCGTGTTCAGGATTACACACACTTGAAAAACCTCCAGCACTTACGCTGCTACAGTAGCCCTTGCTCAATACTGAGGCTAAGAGTCATTCTCTACATCTTGATATGTATGAGAACTTTAAGAATAGAGCCCTGCCAGGTAGCAGTGACTGCCACAGACTTACCTGCAGTCCTGTGGACCACAGAGTCTCTATCTCACAGGACTGGGCCCTCTGGTTCCATGAATCCAGCCCTGCAACTTTCCATTCCGTGTTCTGCACCTCTGCTCTCCCACTCCTCAAGTCCCTTCAAGACTGTGCTCATTTTCATTTCCATTTCCCTCCTTACTTAGAAGGTTTCCTAACCTCTGCGTTTCATTCTTTTTACGACATTTATCATGTGCTTTTAAAATACTGTATCTAAAAAGGGGCCCTGTCTTAGCCTTTTAATAATTCTAGTGAATTAACTGCAATACGGGGGATTGAACCCAGGGCCTTCACACTGAACTACATCCCTAATCCCTTATTTTGAGACAAGCTGTCACCAAGCTGCCCAGGCTAGGCTCAAACTTGGTGATTCTCCTACCTTAGCCTCCCAGAGGGCTGGGGTTACAGGCATATGCCACCACATCTGGCTTAGCTTCTTAAATCAACTTCTGTACCTAGCCAAACACTTTGCACACAATGTATGCTTCAACAAACACTTGCTGAAATAAAAGCTTTTTGATAATATGTTGCCATAATATAATAGAGCTACAGATCATCCGATTTAAGAAATAAATACTTTAGGGGGGCAGAGTGGTACATGTCTAATCCCAGCACTCTGGGAGGCTGAGGCAGAAGCATCACAAGTTTGAGCCCACCCTGGGCTACTTAGGGAGACACTGTCTCAAAATAAAAAAAGGACTTTGCTCCATGCAAAGGCCCTGGGTTCAATCCTCAGTATCACAAAAAAGAAAGGAGGAGGAGGAGAAAAGAAAGGAGTTATTAAAAATAAGCTTACATCAACAAGTGAATAAAGAAAATGTGGTGCATATATACAATGGAGTACTACACCAAAAAGGACAAATTTGAATTATCTGTAGAAAGATGGATGCCCCTTGAGACCATAATACTTCCTGAAATATATCAGACACAGAAGCTTAAATATTGTATGATTTCTCTTATAAGAGAAACTCAAAGTATAAATAATTCAAAGAGCAAAGTAAAAGCTGAGGTACACCTTTTGTAAAAGGGAGGGGGAGCTAGAGTTGGAGAGAGGAAAAGTAAAAACGATTAAGATGCCGAATGTACATGGACAGGCCCCCCGGGATGAATGTATACCTTATGTATGACAAACATGTACTAATAAAATAAATAGTTCAGAAATGATAGGGAATAAAAATTCACTCTGAGAACCCAAATTTAACAAAAGTCACCCTCTGACATGATAATCAAATCATAAGGGTTACAGAAGATGAATCAAATATAACCTACCAAAGGAAATACTCAAATGATCTAACTCAAGAACTTTTCTCCATTTCTACATGACAAAGGTTACAAATACGTATTATATATAGTCTTTCCCAGAGATTTTAATGGGACAGTTACTGTCATCTCTAAAGTAACAGGGTTATAAAACCATCCACTAAAGCTAACTCTGTTAGTGAAGACAACTATTCCTGAGCTCTAAAACAAGCTTTCAGGGTCTCATTTTGTTTTGTTTTGTTTTGTTTTGAAATTCTTATCCCCAGCAGTCTACTGATTGTCAACACGTTCTGGCTCCTCCACAGGTACTGATTCCTTCCTGTTTTTAAATGTGCAAATTCCTTGACTCAGTCATTCCATGACTGAGAAATCCCATTCTAAGAACTGCATCCAACAGCTAAAGTGCTGTCCAGAAGCAAAAGTTGCCTGGCCGCTTTCCTGGCCCCTTGTGGTCCAGAGGACCCGTCTGACTTTCTTTTCACCATCCAGGTCCAACCTTCCAGAAGTCTGGCTCAGATTGCTCATTCAATACCTCCATGCTGAGTATCTTTACCTTGCCTTCTGCAAAAATGACCTCTACAATAGCTATGTGGCTCTAGGAAGCATTCACAACTAAATGCCAGCCCACTTCTCTTCAATTTCTCTTTTTTTAATCTGCTGTTTTAGGCCTGTCCCTCAATTCTTTCTCCTGCCCTCTACAACTTTGAAAACAATCATTGTGCTAGTTCAGGCTCACCACCATAGCTTCCTAACTAGCTAGTGCACCTCTGATCAATGTCCCTGTCTTCATTCACCCTCCACATTAAAATGATATTCTAGAACAAGATAGTGCCTGAGAATACCATGAGCATCCTAGCTGATATCCAAAACAGGAAGTTACTAACCTTAAAAGTTAGTACTACTAATCCTAATCCAAAACATATTTTTTATGCAGTTTAACTCAAATTAGAAAAGGCCATGGAACAGTCAAGATTTTAAAATAAGCTGTCAGAAAAGCCACCATTAAATCAGAAAAATAAGTCTTTCCCTACCCCTAACTCATACATCACCACTAACAAAGGCTAACTATATATGGATGGCTGCTGAAGTACCTCAACTACAGGATTTAGAATGAGTACACTATCTAAAAATAATAGGTCAAAAGTACAAAGAGAGAAAAACTGGAATAATTTTGGGAAACTTGAGCAGACTCAACTTTACTTTGTGACCTTGTTTAAAATTCCATCTAAAGATTAATCTGGATTAAAAACAGTACTTCTAAGAAAATTCGGAAATTACTCAACATTGGTGTGAGTCCAAATCTCCTCTTAGCCAAGATAAATTCCATAAACTTTGATGGGAAAAGGTGCCACATGGTAGCTTGGAGATGGCACATGAATGGGGAAAGGGACACTCTCAGCACTGAGCAACTACTTTGAAGATAACAATACGCAGTATAGGCCTGGGGAGAGCCCAGTGGCACAGCGCCTGCTGGCAAGTGCAAGGTCCTGAGTTTGACTCCTGGTACCAAAAAAAAAAATTTTTTTTAAAAAGCAATATACAATAACCATCGTTAATTTCTTGATCATCTTGTTTTGAAATTCTGCAGCATTTTTTCTTTTAAAAAATTTTTAAACATCCAGAAAAAAAAAAGCATTTCACTATTTACGAAAAGTCCCTAGAAATCCCTTTGCCTAGAAAGGGTAAAAGCAATAAACTTATCCTTTTATAGCCCTGAAGCCACAAGCAAGGAGAGCCTATGCTTAGCTGTCTGACTAATGAGGCTGCTCTTCCACACTGGCTGAGGCCTAGCCAGTCTTTTTATCACAGTCCTAGCACCACAAGCTTTTGCTATTGCTGGTGTTGAGGGCAGCTGGGAAAGTCACCTGTGTACTTCCAATTATTTTTGTATACTGAAAATTTTCTAAAGAATATTTAACAAAAAATATAACTTCCTGGATGTTTCCATTTATAGTAAAAGTAACAAATTCCATAGTGACTCCAGCAGTCTTCCCATAACCTCACTCTGGGGACGCAGCTTATACACAGACAGGGACTGTCTTGTCCCCTAATACTTACTCTGCATTTCGATGAACTGCAAGTCTGAGCCATTCTGCAGTCCTGCCAGGTCACCTGCTGTGCCATCATTCCTGGAGCACTTTTGCCGTTCTTCCTCTAACTGCAGCTTCAGTTTTCTAATCTGAAATGGAAATGAAAGTCACCATCAAGACCCACTCTCTCAAATGAAGCAGATGCTTGGCCCAGGAGCCACATCAGGGAACAAGGCAGATCCTCATATCTGCCATACAAATCATTCACTCAAAAATATTTTCTTAGGAGCTTACTATGAGACAAGGTTCTAGGTACTAGAGACAAGCTCTAAACAAATACAAAAAACTATTGAGCCCGAGGATCAGGTGTCCTAACAAAAAGCCAGCCATGTTGCCATGTCTGTAATTCCGGCCTCAGAGAGGCTAAGGCGGGAGGATCACAAGTGTGAGGCCAGTCTGGGCTACACAGAAAGTTCAAGGTTGGCCTAGACTACACTGGGAGACCCTGTCTCTAAAACAAACAAACCAACCAAAAAACCGCTACATTTTATTATTTGTGTAGTTTATGGAACAGTACAGGGATTTGTGTTACTTTTACTAGAAACAGAAACATCCATGAAACTTTTTGTTGAGAGATAAGTTAAATTCTTATTTAGAAAACTTTCTGTAGACAAAAATAATTGAAAGTATACAAGTGACTTTCCCAATGGCCCTCAACACCAGCAACTCATACCGTACAACCCATACTCTTCATTTACTAACTTTTCCTAATGGCTGAAACTCATTCAATGAACCCTCTAGAGACATCGGTCCATCAAGAGCAAAGCCTCACCTCCTCAGCCTCTTCTCAGTGCTCTAAAGGAAACGTTTGTCTCCTACGAACCAAGCTTCCTCTGCAGCCTACCAAACACTGGCTGTTTGTTAAATTCCACAGCCTCCTCTCACTGACCTTGGGAATGGAATAGGTGCCCTCTTGCTTTCCTTGCTATTGCTGAAGTAGTCTACCTCTACCCAGAAGGTCCAGTTCTTAATCTCATCTCTTCAAGTTATATATATTCCCTCTCATCACTGCTGTCATCCCACTCCTTCACCATTTAACCTCCTGACTCACGGTCCCTCAAGACTACTGTCTTAATTCTTGGTAATTTCTATATATACTGAAGTACAGGCTCTCTCCTTTAACTCAATTCTCACACTCTAGAAGGCTCCCTCTCCAAGGATCTTATCATCTACCTCTTCTTGCTCCCAGCCACTCACACCAAGCCATGTGACAGATATCATTAGATAACCACAGTTTCTGTACAACTGAGTTCCATGTATCTTCTCTCTACAACCACAGTTCCTCATCTTTCCAAACCACTCTCTCTAGACCCTAACCTAACATCCTTTAACCCCACTGGTCCTGTACTTCTAATTCACTGGTTCCATTTTCTTCTACTGTACCTTGGTATTTTTTGCTATGTCTGATAAGACTGTCTTTATCCACTTTAATTTCTAGGTCCATCATTATCATCACTCTCATACATTCCCTGAACCCCTTATCCCACTACACTTGCTGGTAAAATGCCTCTACTCATTCCATGCCCACTCTTATAAGGCTAAATATAACTGGACACACAGATATGTTAAATACATAAGCACAAATCTTTTAACACACCATATAATTCACTTCTTAATTATGTTTGTTTCTCTGATCTCTTCACACTAGAATGTAGGGTCCACTGGGGTAGAAATGTTTTTGACTAATTTATTTTCTTAAATATCCCAAGTGCCTAGAATAGTACCTGACAAACAATGGAATTTCACTTAACATTTGCTGATGATTGAATAGTAGTAAGGGAGAAAAGTCAAAATCATTCAAGGAATCTTCCCAGAACTAAAGAATAGGAGTGCCTAAAAGTGACAGAGGGCCAGTAACCTGTGACTGAGGCCCAGTTTCAAAACATCACTGTGAATTTCAAAATAGCAGGAAAAAAGACAATAGGATACTAGCTTCCATAAGAGGGGTAAATGTCACAAAAATCAAACCTGACTCCCAAATCCTCAAAAACCACAATGGAAGACAGAGAATAATAAAGATTAATTAATTTCTTTTAATCTGAAGGAAAAACCACTGCAACCCAGAATTAAATACCCTTCCAAACTACCAAGTAAGTAAGCGGGTAAAATAAAGACACTTTAAGAGCTGCAAGGTCATGAGAAATTAGTGGCCCATATCCCTTTCCTCAGGAAATGAAGGAAGACACAGCAAAATCAGATAAAGAGGAAGGCACAAGAGACTAGGAATAGGGAGCACAACCCCTATCACAGAGAAAAATCTCCATATGCCAATCACATCTCTCTATGGAAGCAATAAGTTCAGGATGGGGTGAGTCAGATGCTGTAAGACTCATCAGGTGCAGCTTAGAGTAAAACTAACATCTCAAAACACTAAGAATGGGTTTAAATTACTGTTTAAAACTGTTTATGCTGGGTGTGCATAAATTACTATGCGGATTTTTCCATATAAATCACTCCCAGCAACTGGGAGTGGGAGGCAGGAGGACTGCCAAGAGAGGCCAGCCTGAGCTACATAGTGAGTTCAAGGCCAGCCTGAACTAATGAGACCTTCTCTCAAAAAACAAAACTCTAAGTTACTGATTAGGAGAAAAAAAAAATCAGGCAAATAAACAAAGAAAACTCACAATTTTAACTATAAAGAAAACAAGCAATTGTGAAGATGAAAATGACCCTAAAATGTAACAGGGCACCCCTGTGACTCGTGTTTGGAGTCTGGAGGACAGCACGCTGGACTCATGCTGTCCCTTCATTAGGAGTCTACAGTATGGGAAGTATGCATGCAAGCAGCAGAGGCAGAGGATGAAAGGCAGGTATGTCCTCATCTTCCACACAGCGCTGCCAATAGAAAATGCCTAAAACGCAACAAGAGGCAACACAAGCATGCTACAGACAGTACACATCAAGATTTGGCTAAAAACTGAATAGAAATGGCCAGGGTTAAGGGAAGGCAGGTGATTGCTGTCTTTACAACAAGCTTTATAAAACTAAATGTCTCAAAGTTTGTGTTCCATAAAAATTTTTGAAAGAGTGACAAACGCAAAATGTGATCAAAAAGTAAAATAACATGTGAGTTACCTTTTTAACTTTTAATCTCATTGAGTGCTAATGTTTGAAATTAAACACATTTCCAATTTGTAATGAACATTTTAATTTACTGACATTTAACATTAACTGAGTCTAGCAAAATCAGTAATACCGTCCAGTGAGAATATCTTTACCTGTGATAGTAGCTCTTCCTTTTCTCCAGCAAGTTTTCGTAGCCTTACATCTTTAAAAAAAAGAAAAGTTGCAAACTAAATTTGTAATGTAGTATATAAACAATTAAAAATAGTTCCCAAAAGTCGTAAGTATCAGCAGTCTGATAAAGTACTTATAGCTCTGACAATGAAAACAAAGACTTTAATAGTATTACTGAAGAATATTTAATTATCCCAAATGTATTTTCCACACAACCAATATTTACTGGGCACTAAATACATTTGTTCCCACAATAATGATTTTTCCACATAAAGATAAACTGAAGTACAAAAGAGGCCATTTTTTTCTTTCAAAAAATTGGAAGCTTTCACCAATAGACACACAAGAATGCCAACAGCATTTGCACGGGCATACACCCTTAGCAGGAGAATTCAAAACAAGTGAAAGAAGAAAGGGAATAAAAGGGCTGGGTGGGGCAAGCTAGAGCACAGGAAATAGAGGAACACAATGCGGAAAGAAGCAAGTTCCACAAATGTTACAGGGTGAAGTGAAGGGAATCATCTCAAAGATGAGGATAGCTGAGGGCAGTCTGAGGCTGGGGAGTACACTGTTAGGTCTTTCTCCTGGCCTATGCAGAGAGCTGCTTCTTCCTACGTAGACATTAAAACACGCCTCTTGGGTTAAGGAGATACCTCTAGTTCAGTAAAAGCAGCAGCTGACATCTGGTCTGCCACCACCCACAATTAAGGAAGGTTACAGCCAAATGTAGTTTCTTCAGCACCTTCTGAACAGGCAAAAGGAAACACTTGCCCATAGCCGTCTACTCATTCCATTCTCTAGATCTTCCTTGTCACTCACCTAGCATCCTCTGTTTTATCAATGTGCTCTACAATTAATTAAATTTCTAGAATTCTGCACATTGGTAAATGTGCTAACTTCTAAAATGTTTTTCAGCTTCTGCCACTGTTACAGTACCTCTCACATACATAAAAAAAAACAGAAAAGGAAAAAGACTGTTTCCTAATAAATAAAAGTGAGCTGATAATACATTATCTACTATATTTCATCTTCTACAGCAGAATTCTTAGTGGTAGCAATGGATGGGGACCTCTGTGATTTCCTCAGAAGAGGTGTCATTACATCATTAGATTCTCAAAGGTTTACATTTAAGAAGCCTAAATTTTAAGAGGCTTAAAAGCGCTTACCTGGGAGTTACACTCCTGTAATACCTATTGTGATCATCTATTTCTTGCCTTAAGAAATGTGGTGGCAAAGAGCTACTAAACCCTGGGCTAAGTAGTGAAACAAAACCAGATGCTCAGGAAGAAGAACATACAAACCTACTTGGAAAGCATCTCGTCAGCCCACAGCTCCCCTAGGATAAGCATGCCAACCTCTCGCTGCAGAAAGTTTGAATTAAGTGAAAAGCAGTATGTACAGACCCACAGTGCTTCTACTCAGGGGCCTTATACTTGCTATCTTTTAAGGACTCATACCCCAGCAAGATCAAGGGTGTCTGATAACAGTATGTCCAGATACTTCTTAAAGATGTAGGCAAGTCTCAAATGACCTTTATATGCTGTTTTTGTTTTTCAAGCTGGGATATAAACAAGCTGGAAGCCCAACAACATTAATCCAAGACAGAATGCAACCAGTGTCTTACCTAGTGGCCCTTCTCCTGCTGACTCCAAGACCTGAGCAGCTTCCTGAGACACAACAGTAATGGCTCCAACCACTGGTTCATGACTGACATCACCATTGGGCGTGCCATCAGGGATTATAACTAAGCCATGTTTCTGTGTGGAAGAAAAAAAAAGATGGCCCACATGGAATCAGAAAGCTCTGTGAGGTAACTCTGCAACAATGTGCTTGCCACAGGTAAAACCTAATTAGAAATCATTATGTAGAAAATACTTCTGCAAAGGAAATGACTTACTGTACCATATCAAAACTGTATTCAAGATAAGAAAGATGACAGGATGAAAGAAAGGAAGGTAGAGTAAAGCAGTAAGGGATGTGAGCTCCAGGCTCATGCTAACATACCTCTCCTGTCTTCACTGTCTCCTGCAGATCAGCCAGTTCCTCTCTGAGCATATCTCGCTCATTCCTAAGGCAGGCAATGTATTCTTTCTGTTTCTCTAGGGCCTAGTATTAGGCAGGGCAGCAAGGGAAAGAATGGCACAGAAAAAAAGAGCAAGTGAAAAGTAACTAATCCAAATAAGCAAAGATAAAAGCATAAAAAGCAAGGAAGCAGTTAAAAGCTTGGAAGCAAGCAATCAGGGGTAGAAACACACATATTATCTGTATATGGATTATACATCTCCAGAAGAGGGTTTTAGTAGAAACTAGTTCTCATGCATAAATTTGGCAATACATGCTTATCACATCAAGCAGAAAGACAAATCTTTCTTTTCCAGTCAATGCAGAAAACAGGAAAAGGAAGATGAAGACAGCAACAAAGAGTTGAAATTTCCTTACTGAACTCCTGAGTATATTTTCATTTGGTGAACAAAAAAACTGATCTCATGTTTAACTAAAATAGTTTATTCAAAAATATGCCAGTATTTTTAAATAAAAATGGCTCTGGAAAAAAATATCTAGTATGCATGTTATTTTAATTAAATATTGGTTGTATGGCTGTTCTCCAAATAGTATGGCAAAATATTTAATACCACTTAATCCAAAAATAGCTAATCTCCAAGAGGATTCAACTAAGACTCACTTGGTTTTCTGAAATACTTTCAAAATGTGAAAAACAAAAATAAAACACTGGACAAAACAAAGCCTACCTACAGTAGATTACAGATTTCAGAATCAAGTTCTTGGGTCCTGGCACATGCTTAACTTACCTATGCCTCAATCTCCTCATTGGAAAAAAAACAACAACAAAAGATAACCACAGCACCCACTTCATAAATGGAGGCTAGAAAGCGAGTTCAGCATAGAGCACCGTCTGGAGTGCTTATGACCACAGGAGACATCTCAGGGAAACCAGTGTTTTCACTGGCAATTCGTGGCCACATCCTGAATCTCACAACTGCCAGAGCTTAGAAGGTGGTGTGGAAGCAGAAACCTACTTTGGTCATCAGTGACAAATCGAGAGTACTTAACTATATAATAAAATAATCCAGACTTTAAAAAGCACTACCAAGTCAAGTAGCCCTAGCAGAAACCTGATAGCGGGGCTGTTTCAAATAAGCCTTTCTCTACATTTTTTTTTTTTTTTCTTGTATAAGTGCTTTCTACCAGCATTCTTGCTAACTGAAGAAGTTAAATTACAGCAGGTAACTCTGCTTGGCTTACTGCGTTCAGAAGTGGGTCAACTACTTAGTTATCAAAGGCTGAACAGTTGGGCAGTTTTTCAAAATCATTCTGATCCTATTTGACGACCCTGTAATAGAACTACTTGTCTCACCCTCATTTTGCTGATCAGAAAATTAAGGCTCAGAGAAGTTTTCCTTTTGTTTTTTTTGCACACAGTCTCAGTAAATAACAAGGCCAGAAAATGAATTCAGTTATTTTTAGTTCCAAAACCCTTGCATGCATTTTTTTTTATATCACAGTCCCATACAGGCTGCACTATGTTCTTTATTCACACTACAATGTCAACATCTAACTTTCCACAATTTGTACTCAAACTTTATGTGCCTGAAGTCTACCTACGAAAGTGGTACTTTAAGTTTCTAACAGCACATGGCATTTACGGTATCAAGTTAGTACTCACACTCCACTATCTTAACAACAAAAGAAACATGAGGAGAACAAATCCCAACAATACTTTCCTAAATGTTGATAGTCATTTTAATTTGTGCTGGCTTAGGTATTTTTGTTTGCATGCATAGCTGTATAACATCACCACATGTAACTGAGGAAATGACCACTGCCACAACATGCTCTGTATAAACGATATCATGGAATTTAAAAGACCTCTTAGGAAAAGACCAATTTGAAACTAGAAGTTCTAGCAAATGCTAGTGGAAGACCTCTACTCCCTCTTTCCATGTCTGTAGCACTGGCTTTCATTTTTACATTTAGACTTTTTCATTTCATTTCCCCTAATTACAGACAAGAAAATACAATATATCCTGTATATTTGGCCATTTCACCACAAAGTTTGAAAACTTACTGAAATAACTTATAATTGGATCAAATGTATTCATGCTGGATATGAAATCCTCTGTATTATCTGACCATATAATCACCACCCTTGTGTTTTCATGCAACAATAGTTCTTAGATTTTTCTTTTTTAGGGTGAAAAATACATGTTTGTGGAGCTCTATTTCCTGACCGACCTCAAATTCTAGCGTCACGAAGCCAAATGGTCTGTACAATGAGCTTAACTTTTGGGCAATGGTTTCAATCACCATGTAATTGCACAGGACATAAATACAATCAGAATGGGAATGAATTTGTGCGGCTATCCAGACATATCCAAGTAGTTCTATACACATGTTCATAGCAGCATTATTCACAACAGCCAAAAGGCAGAAACAACCTACGTGTTCATCAGTGGAGGTACATGGTATATATAAACAATGGGATATTATTCAGCTTTAAAAAGTAAGGATATTTATCTGATACATGCTGCAATACTGACGAACCCAAAGGGCATTGTGATAAGTATAATAAGACAGTCACAAATATAAAATTGAATATTATATGATTCTACTCATGAGGTACCAAGTGGTCAGACTAATAGAGACAGACAGAAACATGACCGCTAGGGGAAGGTGGTGGAGGTGGCAGCTGTTTGTAACGAGTACAGAGCACTAGCCTGGAAGGATGAAAATGTGCTGGAGATGGATGGTGATGATAGCAGCACATCAACGTGAACGTACTTAATGTCACTGAACAGTATGTTAGCACAATTTTTCAAATTAAAAACAATAAAAGGGAAAGGAACTGTTGTTACACAACAACTTGGATAAATCTTGAGGGACTGATGCTGAGTGAAATAGGTGAGTCCAGAATATTATATATGATTTCAGCTATATAACATTCTTAAAATGGCAAAAGTACAGAAACAGAGAACAGACTAGTTCCCAGGGCTGGGGGAGGGGCATATATAGTACATATGGCTATAAAAAAGGTGATGGAAATATTTTGTATCTTAATTATACGAGGGAAATATCCTGGTTGTGATACTATACTACAGTTGTGAAATATGTTACATTCGGGATAAACAAGACAAAGGGTATACGTAATCTTTCTGTATTTCATATATGTAGTTGTATATGAATGTAAAATTTTCTCTCAAAAAATTTAATTTTAAGAAGGCAAAGCTTTAGCCAGGCATGGTGGTGCACGCCTGTAATCCTAGCAGGATGATCACTGCAAGTTTGAGGCCAGGCTGTGCTACAAAATGAATTCAAGGTCAGCCTGAACTGCATAATGAAACCTTGTCTCAAAAAAGATTTAAAAAAAAAAAGTCAAAGCTTTGAACACATTATGGTATAGCCACAGAATAGAGGGCTGTACTTGTTTAAAAAGTGACAAGACAACTGAAGAGCTGAGTAATTTGTCATAACCATCAGCATGTCTTTTTGGTAGCAAAAATTAAAAAGAATAAAATTGTTTTGTTTTAAAGAGCTATTTTATTGGACTGAGAGTTGAAGGTTTTACTACAGGAACTCTTAAGAAAATCAGTTTAAAATACTAAGATAGCTATATGAATTAGAAACCTTGGCTCTGCAGATCTGTGCTACAGAAAATTATGTAAGGTCCTAAAAATCCATTCTAGATAATGACTAGATTTTAACTATATAAACTGCCTACTTCGTGTCACATATTTTTCATGCCTCATTTTAAATTTCACAACTAAAACTTTAAATAAAATTAGCAGTTCACAATTATAATTTCAAAATAATGCAGTTCATTTAATCCCCCAGAAAGCTTTGCTAGGGTAGAGTTTTAGAAATTTGGTAACTTAAATAATGTAAAAGTAGCCCTTTCAATTTTTGTCCATAAACTCAAAAAAAAATGTGGTTTTCCTATGTGTTTACTAACGAGAAGGTAGGATAGGTGAAGTAATAAAAAGAAATGGATACTGCTGACCACCAGCTGGGCTTCACAGCGTCCCTAACAATGGGAGGCAGATCCAGGAGACTCACTTTTGTTTTTTTTGTTTGTTTGTTTGTTTGGTTTGTTTTTGGTTTTTCTCCGGTACCGGGAACCGAACTCACGACCTTGCGCTTGCGAGGCAGGCGCTTTGCCACTGAGCTAAATCCCCAGCCCCCAGAAGATTCACTTTTGGGCATGTCTCTCACTGGTGCTTTTGGCAACCTTTGCCACCTTTTTCTTATTCCACCTAACCATAAGTAAAATAAGACTTCTCTTATTTGTTCTTCCTGTTTCCTCCATCACAACACTTCCCTGACAAGGTAAGCCTTTGGCAGATACATAGGCATAAATGGGATTGTCAAAGGTCACATGAGATAAGGACTGAAATTTTTTCAGCCTCCAGTATACTTGGAATCTACCTGCAGGGCTAAGCCCAAAAAGCAAAGAAGACTATTTCCTTATCTGGGCCCCTGCTTTAGGGAGTTTTGGGTTTATAATTAGAGTTAGCGTCACAGTTTGGCAACTCAGCCAAGTCTTACATTCCTATCCACTTCTATAATTAAACTAATTTTAATCTCTTCCTATTTTGTTCACCAAGGATTTATAGGATGTTAACTTTCCCCCCATCCTTGCTCCTTATCTTCTTGGTTCTTATCCAAATTCTTGTAAGAATACCAAACCACACACAAGAGTTTGAATTAAATGCTTGTGATATTTAATGGATAAGAATCCTATGGGAGACTTTGGATAAGAATCCTACGGGCATAAAGAACAACTTCCTTTGTAAGTCCATACTTTTAGGTTTTACAAGCCCTGAGCTGGCTAGAAAGAAGAGTTCTTTCTAAGCACAGTATCAAGTTTTCCTATGGAAGCCCCTGTCTTTCACTTATTCATATTTCACGCTGTATAAATGCACAAGAAGATTGAAAAGGACAGATTTTTACAAATCTCTAAGTTAAATTCTATTGGTTTATTCCTTGTATGTGAGCTTCTGATGAAAGCCCAATTTCATCTCATACCCCAATTTTTTTATCTTTCCAAAGAAGTGTCTCCTGGAGGTCAAACACCTCTTTTGTCATGGTGTCTATTTTCTGCTGCATGCGCTGATTCTCCTGCAGAGGAAGGGGTAAGAAAAGTAATAAAAGAAGAGAAATAAAAAAAGGAGGAAGTTAAAAGAAGGAAAACAGAATAAAAATTGAAAACTTAAGAAAAAGGGGATGAAAGTCTGTGATAAACAGAAAAAAGAAAGAGTGGTTTGCTAAAAGGAAAGATTATGTTCAGAGTCTTGGTTACGTAAGTCTTGCTGGCTTGCCCCATAAAAATAATCAAGGAGGCTCTGGGGTTGTCCCTCAGTGGTAGAGCATATGCTTAGCATACCCAAACCCTGGGTTCTATCTCCAGCACTGCAGGAAAAAAAAAAAAGCAAAAGTAAACAAGGCGACTGTGAATAAATAACTTCCAACCACAACTATGTGGCAGCAAGCCAGGCGGGGTTTCTGTATACATACAGCTCCATATGTATACTCCTCCTTTCATAGCCTCCCCCCCTTTTTGCAAACATGGAACAGTGTATATTTCTAGAGGAACCTACAATAGCAGAATCTATAATAATAGCAAGAACATCCTAAATTACAAAGGAAAAATTGGTTTTTAGAAAAACTGAGGATAGGGATGTAGCTTAGGGGCACATTGCCTGCCTGGCAAGCGTGAGACTGGAATTTAACATTTAGTGATTTTCAAAGAACTCTTCTGATTGGGAAAGATGCTTAGTTTATAGCCTCTTAACAGTTTTTTCCCTGTGGACTACTGAAAAATTAACATTGTATATTCTTCCCATTCGTACATTACCTGTTTTGCCATGCAATTTTCAATTCAAAACCAAGAAAGTGTTATTTGTCATACTCAAGGTATTTCATTTCTATGTAATCATGGCCACTAACATCTAAAAGATCTCCAATGTAAACATAAAAAAACACTGAAAACTAAAGTTTTTAAAGTTTGTGTACTCTATACTGTGGGGATTTTAAAGGAGCCACGGAGACAAAGAATAGAAATCAAGCATTATAATCCTCTTAAATGTAATATGTAAACAACTGGAACAGTTAACCCTCATGTAAGCTACTGAATTTGAGAAGCAGTTCCAAAAGTAATTTTATGGGGCTGGGGATTTAGCTCAGTGGCACAGCGCCTGCCTGGCAAGCGCAAGGTTGTGAGTTCGATTCCTGGTACCAGAAAAAAACAAAAAAGTAGTTTTATTATTATTTGAAATCTTGAAAGGGAGAAAGCATTCATCTTAATTAGGATAAGAAATAAGGACTGGTATATTGACATGGAAAGACAAAAGAACAAAAAAGAAAAGGATTTTACATTGTTTTTTAAACAGCAGTAGGACACACAATTTAGACAATATGTTCCCTACCAGATGGAAAAAAAATGAGGCCAACAAACACACAGAATCTGACAGATCGTTATCTGTATCTGCATTTAGTATCTATATACTCTAGCTGTATGATTTTATTTTTCTTAAAAGTCATGAAAACTATACCAATTCACAAATAAAAAAGACAGTCATTTTTCCCTTATTAAATGGTTTTCATAGGTCATTTACAGTGAAAGAAATTAAGCACTGGAGGTCCAAAAAGGAAGAGGAAAAGAAGGAAAGAAAGACTAGAGTCTGAGTTGTCAGGAATGTGGACAAGTGTGGTGAACTACATGCCCTGGATCATTAAGAGCTGGCCTTCCTAGTATCACTAACATGTCATCAACACTAAATTAATTAATGTTAGAAACCCTTGAAAACCACACCTAGGTAGTAGGCAGGATCTTCTTCAAACTTCAACTTCAGGAGGGAAAAACACATTTAGAGAAGAACAGAGATACATGCAGGCTGACAAAATGATACTTTTTAAAAGGCCAGACAGGAGGCTAAGACAGGAGAGGAATGCCTCGAGTCTGAGACCATCCTGGGCTGTATAGTGAGTTGAAGGCCAGCCTAAACTATACAGCAAGACTTTATCTAAAATAAAAAAACAAATGAAAAAGTTGTTGGTGGACTAACTCCATCCCACTTAAGATATTACCACTAAGGTAGCAAAAACCTAAACCTCTACACTACCCAGCCTTCACTTTTTGTACAACAGGTACAGCTCTTGACAATTTCTTCTTTTTCATTTAGCTACCTTATAAAGGTATTTAACTGAAGAAAGTTTAACTTATTATATCTCAAGAATCATATCCCAAAAAGTGGTATTCACTATGTTCCAAAGAATAATGGTACTATTCATTTTTCCTTTTGCCTACTTCCTTGATATCTTTAGGATAAGCAGTGTGCTTAGGAATAAAAGACATTTAATGAAAGCTTCTGCTATTAAAGGGGAAATGTTTATAGGCCTGCCTTCATAGTTAATGTTTGAAAAATTTTAGGATAGCCAAATGTGGAAAGAGAAGTAACTCTTCATAGCATTTTAACTTTCTTCTCCTCCCAACACATATACAACTTCATCCTAAGCAACACATTTTTACCAAAATTAAGTATTTCCATAGTTCACATACATACCTCAATAAGTTCATCTCTTTGCCGAAGGCCTTCTTTAAGTTCATCCATCTTATGCTGTAGCACACTACACATATGTTTCTGCCTTTCCAGCTCCTGTTATAAAACACACAACATAGCACATAACAAATCTAATACATGCAATACAACAAAGAAGCCAAATATGACATCCAGAAATGCCCTTTAACTGCTAATTTACAATAACCTAGAACAACTGTATATTCAATGGAAAGGTTCAAACACCGTAAAATTTTCATCTTGCATGGGATGAAAGGAAAGGAGAACAAACTACGCATGCATTTAATAAAAATTATCCAAAGTGCAGGGGTAAACTACTATGCTAAAAATAATTCGAAACTGTAAAAGCTTAATAAGGGGAAGGGTCAATAAAATAAACTACATAAAAATTAAAACTTTTAAATGGCAAAAGACACCACAAAGTAAAAAGATAATGACAAACTACCAAAAATATAGTTTATTTAAGAAACAAACAGTTACTATTTTTCCATATTCAAAAAATCCCTAAAAGAGCCAGGGCTTTAGCTCAGTGGCACAGCACCTGCCAAGCATGAAGTCCTGAGTTTGATTCCCAGTACAAAAAAAAAAAAAAAAAAAAATCTCTGAATTTAAAAATACTAGCTACATAGAAAAATAGATTAAAGCCGGGCATGGTGGCACATGCCTGTGATCCCAGCACTCGGGAGGCTGAGGCAGAAGGATTGATGCAAGTTCAAGGCCAGACTGGGCTACAAAGTGAGCGCAAGGTCAGCCTGAACTGCATAGTGAGACCCTGTCTTACAAAGACAAAAAAGAGAGAGAGCGGGAGGAGACAGGGAAGGAAGGAGGGAGACAGAGAAAGAAAAACAGACTAAAGAAATGGGCAGTTTACAGAAAAATACATCAAACACCTCTGAATATGAAAAAGATGCTCATATGAAGAAAATGCAAAGTAAAACCATATTTCTAACTAAAATACTAGTAAAAGTCCAAAACACTTACACAGGGGAATTCAGCAGTATCAAAAAAAACCACATACTTTCCAACCCAAAATCCCACTCCTATGACATTTTATTTGGTATAAAAGTAACTTTGCAAAAAATATAAAGTCTTAATGCAATATAGTATATTACTTTTGCTAGATTACTTAAAGCACTGCAAAGAACCTGAATGTTCATGAATATGAAACTGGTGAAACAAGATGTCCACACAATAGGCTAACTATGAACGGTGAAAAAGAATGAGGACTACTTCTCTATACTACTCTGAGAAAGTGATAAAATCAAGGTGCAGGACAGCATGTATAGTGTTCCACCATTTTCTAGGGAAGGGGTGATACAAATATATATATTTAATTCATAGGTACAGATTTCTGAATGATGTATGTACCCAGTGGTGGCAAACCTATGGCACACATGCCGCAGCAGGCTGTTTGTTATCATTGAGAGCTCTAAAAGGTTCGCCATCACTGTATGTACCTATCCTTTTTGACTAGAAATGGTTAATATATCTTCTTGGATTTTAAAAAATGAAAAAACAAACCATTAAATTTTAAAATTCCACACATGGAGGTAGAAAAGGACGAATGAATAAATGTAGTGTATATATATAGCGTAATATTATTCAACCTAAAAATAAAGGAGCTCTTGTTGCTTTAATACATTATGTTAAACAAAATAAGTCAGTACAAAAACACAGCTGTTGTATGATTCTAATTATAAGTACTTAGAGAACTCCAATTCATAGAAACCAAAAACAGAAATGTAGTTGCCAAGAATAGCGAGAAATGAGGAACTGTCTTATGGGTATAGAGTTAGTTTTGTTAGATGAAACAGGAAGATCTGATGCACAACAATGAATACGCTTAACACTAGTGAACTGCAATCCTTAAAACTGTTTAAATGCTAAATTTTAAGTTGCATTTTTTACAATAAAAACTTAAAATGTAAAATCAGTTCCTACATATTGAAGATAAAAAACACAGAAAATAAGCTGTATGTCTAGCTAGTAAGAATAAGAAAACAAACTATTTCAACTAACTTTTAAAAACAATACTTTGGCTACACATAGTCTAGTGGCAAAAATAAAAGCCAAACCAAACCAAATACTTTTAACTATTTTCAGTAATTATACTGGTGTTAATGGTGGTACTGCTATTTTGGGTCATGTGAAATAAAACAGTAAGAATATAACATAACTACTATATCTCCAGTGACTCAGAGAACTAGGAATTATAAAGTAAGAAAAAGGAGATACAGATGTACAACAGAAGAGGTTAAGTAAAATCCCTAAAGTCCTAAATATAAACTGAAACTTAAAGACAAACTCATAATATATTTTGTAACTGAAAACAAAAAACCCACTTATGTATTTCACAGATATAAACAGGGACCACCTCAGCACCAATGAGCACCGACAGTGCTACATGAAAAGAGGACTAGGGCTCCTTGGGCAAATGGCAGATTTCAGCTCAGGGAGAGAAAATATGTAAGCTGAGAAGGGAATATCTCCTGTCAGAAAGCAAAAAAAGCTACCAGACACATTTTGTATTCATCATAAACACTTAGAAATCAATCTGAAGAGGCTCATTAGCCAAAAATGGGATAATTAAAAATGTGAGACATCAAAAAGAATAAAAGCCACCATGCACTCAAAACATCAAATGTTTGAACTTACAGTTTCATAATATTTTAAAAAGAAAACAACCGATTGGTCACTATGAAAGGATTCTTTAAATTCCTAATTTTGAAAATTTATAAATAAAGGCAAAGAATCAAGTTTTCTTGCTTTCCTATGTAAGCTGTTTTATCTGAGTAATAAGTTTCTTTTTAAAGATAGACTTAATATACAAAGCAGAAGAAAGTAAAAAGACAACCTGCAGGATGAGAGAAAATTATATATAAATTGTATTTCCAACAAGAAATTTATATCTAGAATATATAAACACTTCTCAACTCAATAATGAGACAAATAACCCAATTAAAACATGGGCGAAAGATCTGGCCAACATTTCTCTAAGGAAGATCTCTCAATATGTCCATGAAAATATGTTCAAAACTCACTAGTCCCCTAGGGACTAGCCATTAGGATGGCAAGAAATAAAAAGTCAGATAATAGTAAGTGTTGGTGAGGATATGGAGAAATCAGAACCAGCATCCACTATGAATAAGGAACATAAAATGATGAAGCTGCTTGGATAACAGTCTGGCATTCCTAAACAGTTACACACAGATTTACAACGCGATCCCAAAATTCCACTCCTACATAGATAATTAAGACAAAGGAAAATATGTTCACACAAAACATTGCACACACGTACAATTACAGCAACAACACTCCTAACAGCTGAAAAGAGAAATCACCCAAATGTCCACCAATACAAAGGGATAAAGAAAATGTGACGTACTCATGCAATGGAATATTAATACACCATAAAAAGGAATGAACTTCTGATATATGCTACAACACAGACAGACCTGGAAAATATACTAAGTGAAGATGTCAATAACAAAAGAACATATATGGTTCCATTACTTGGAGTTGGGAGTAGGAGAGGGAGATAAGAAGATGACAGGTAAAAGATACATAATTTCTTTGTGAGATCTTAAAATTAGTCAAAAGTGTGTGTGGTGATGGGTGTACATACATTTATACTACAAACCACTGAACTGTATACTTTAAATGGATGAATTATAATGGTATGTCAACTGTATCTTAGTAAAGCTATTTAGTAAGAGTAAATAAATCAGTACTGATAAAATCAGAATATCCTATTCCACAACACCTAATGAACTATGAGACCTAACCATCCAGCTACAGCATCAATGTGGGCCTCCTAAACTAAGGTAACTACACTGCCTTATGAAGTAGATGTGCCAAAAAGGCTAGAATTAAGTCCCCACACCTAACATATTTACAAGCACTAGATGGGGAAAGGGAACATGGTAAAGATGTTACGTGAATGAAATGTAAGACTATAAACATGTTAAGCAATCTAATTTCTTCAACACATAAATTGCAAGGGAGGAAAAAGGTGAAAGGGAACCTGTTAATTAAAAAGACTTACCTACTAATTTCAAGGTATGGAACTTATCTGATCCTGACTTTTTTTTTAACTATAAAAAGGTAAACCACCTAAGGTATTTTGAAACTGATGAATACTAACAGTGACTAAAATACCGAGTGCTTAGAACTTGCTTCAATACAACAGCAAGAGAAATGGGTAGGGCAAAACTGACAACAGGCTGACAGTGGTTGGGAACAGGTGGGTAAGTTCATGAGGATTCATTATATTCCTCTGTATGATTTTTAAAATATTTAAAACCTGTGATAAAATTTTTAGATGTTAAATAAGCTGATTTCCTATTAAAATAAAGAGCTATTAAAAAGATGGTAACATATTTAAAACAATGCTAATATTCTGTTCCTGAAGTAGGCATACACAAGGCTTAAGGTGCAGTTATTTGAGTTTTTTTTTTGTGGTTTTTTTTTTTTTTTGTCTTTTTGAGACAGCGTCTCACTATGCAGTTCAGGCTGGCCTGGAGCTCACTTTGCAGCCCAGGCTGATCTTGAACTTGCAAGGATCTTCCTGCCTCAGCCTCCCGAGTGCTGGGATTACAGGTGTGCACCACGACACCTGGCTAAGGTGCAATTATTTTAATTCCAGCAAGAAGCACTAAAAACATTTTGAAATTTTTCATCATTATCGTTGTTTTCGTTGAGTCGGCCTTCTCTACTCTCCTCATCTGCTGCTATAATGAAATACACCACAGTGCTCAGCCTTTTTGTATATCTACATATATTAAACATTCTACTACATAAGTCAATACTACTATCTGTTTAGAATAAGAGAGCTTAGGATGAAAGTATGTTGGCAAGAGACTTTCTCAAAGCAGGCATCACAATATGTGAAGCAGATTGTCAAGGTATTTAAAAAGCTTACAGATTCTAAGTTGGGAAAGTAATAAAAAATTGTTTAAAGCCCTGTGCATACTAAGATATCGCTCTTAGAAAATGACAGGAAAAACTCAGTCGGTTAAAATAATCATACATATTTTTATTTTTAAAAATGCTCAGGGTTATGACAGACAGAGAGATGATAACTCACTTTAGTTCTGACCATTAAATACTCAACATAAGATTTTCTTCTAATTTGCAGAAGAGCCAGAAATACATACTAAGAACATGTGGTGAGGCAAAACAAAACAAAACAAAAACAGTGGAACTCTAGGCAAATCATGATGGCTCCGAATTTCCAAAATTGGTCTATAAGACACAAGGAGAATCAAAGAGGAAACCACCTAGTATTGCCATAAAGTCATACTTTTCAATGAGCCACTCCTAAGCCAATGTAAAAATATCACCAGGATATAGCTCAGTGGCACAGTGCCTGCTTAGCAAGCCAGGAAAGCAAAGGAAAGGAAGGGAAAGGAAAGGGAAAAGGGAAGGGAAGG